AGACTTGAGTTTATAAAATGACTTTACATTAGCAAATAGTTTTGAACTTCTACCTGTTAAAAGAAATTGCAACTCTAGTTTTGTAGATCTTAATTGACTTTAATTTGCAATGCTAGAATCAGGCAACAGTTTGGACCAAAATAGTTCAGCATATTCCATCCCACCATGTGTGCAGGTTAAGTTTTTAGATAGATAGCAGAAAGTGACATACCGAAGCAAGGTGGAGATTGCTCAATTTGTTACAACTCCTGTCTATCTTATGGGAACATGGTTTGGCGCCTGGCTGCCTGTAATTGACTGGGAGACTCAGCTATTTTTTTCCTGAGTTAGATTTTCAGTTCATAAGTACTGAGTTAGGTATACTGCAGTTAGAAACTTATACAGAAGCCTCTGCAGGCCAAATTTAGTTTGATTTAACAAAGCAAAAGAGCATGACTCTAAAGTACTTCTTTATGTGCAGTTTCCTGTTCAAGTACCCAAAAAGGGATTAATTACAGAACCTACTCGTTGACCTGCAGTGAGAGCCTGATGTGTGTGGATGTGTGGTTTTTGTTATTAACCAAGTGAAGAGTTTTTAATTGTTCATTATACATAGAGTTTTGCCACAAGTTGATCACTTTGGTAAAGACTGAATATATGAGTCCCCCCTCCCAAAAAAAACAGAATTGTCTTTTGAAGGGTGGGCCCCTTGTAGTAGAGACTTCCCCATTAGGTAAATGTTCTAGGAACCCATCAGCATCAGTGTACCAGGCAGCGTTGTTGTGAGGGGCTGTGTTCAGCTTCGGTAAATTTTTTTTAGAAATTCTTTCAACACATTTGCCCATTTCATGATGGGTGATTTACAAGTGCACCTGCCCACACTGTGCTGATGTTCAGCAGTTTTTGACCAGAAATGGTGTGCTCCCCATGCCCTGCCCTCCAGTGACTTTTTTTGTTTCCCCGAATGAAAAAAGTTCTCAAAGGGAAATGTTTTGTCAATGTGAGAAGTGAAACAAAAAGCAACAGAAACACTAAAAGGCATTCAAATGACTAGTTCAAAAACTGTTTTGAGCAGTGGAAAAAGCATCTTGATAGGTGTATTCCATCAAGCAGAGAGTATTTTGAAGGTGACTGAAATTTAATCATGGAAGAATAAATAACACAATTTTAAATAAATTAATTCCAGAGTTTTGTGGGTCCCCTCTTTTATTTCTCTGAGGCAAATATGACATATTCTTCTAGGTACATTAGACAATGAACACATAATATTGGTATTGAGTTATTGGTGACACATACTGAAGTACATTTTATTAATTATTAGACAATGTATTAATTTTCAATAAGAGTTACTAGGCTGGTAAGTTAGATTTATAAGATTGCTATTTTATAAAGTGAACATACAAAGAGATTTTTCACAGAAACATCAGACTTCCCTATTGCAATAGGTTGCCCACTGGCAATTGGGACAGTCTGACTGCCAGCCTCTTAATGTGAATCAGAACTGGAAAAACATTCTGGAGTCTTTCCAGAAGTGATTGTTTGCTTTCATTCAGTGGGAAAGGATAAAACCAGGAAGTGAGAATGCTAGAAAAACTCAGAAGTCTTTATTTCTACAAAATAACAAAAGTTTAATAAAGAAAAAAGAGAGTCATGAATTTTTAAGTTTTAGTCTTTAAGCAAAAACTTAATAACCTTTGTTAATTAGAAAAAGAAGAAAATATATTGGTCATCATTTCTTCATCATTTCTACATAATTAACTATACTATAACGCTAAAAAGCAAATGTAATGTATCACTTGGGGGAAGGAATAAAATAAGCATTATACTCCACCTTTCTTACCTTGATTCATAGCTCAAATATTTCTATTCTGGGAACGTTATTGCAGCTTTGGTGCTGAGAAAATTGCCTGTAGAGGAAGAATGATTCTGCAGTGGTTCATCCTTCACAATTTTCCTACCATCCCATTAAGTCTCATTTTGCAAGCCTGCCATCTAGTGTTCAAACATTCTCAATACAGTAGCTCACAAAATGTTCCACTTCATTCAAAGCAAAATAGTAGGGGAAATAAACAAATCACCTTAAAATCAGTATGCCTGGAGATAGTCAATGTAATGAATAGATCATCAATGAAACTCTAAATTTCCTATTAAAGAGGTTTCTTATTTATTGTTATTGTCCCGTTCATTTGTTGCATTCTTTTATAAATGTTTGATATGTTCTATTTATATAGCCATGCAAATTATACATAGCATACTCTGTATATTGAAATATATACTTATTTACTTTATATTTTATTTTTAATCCTTCTCTCACTGTACTTACCTATAACTAACAAAGTTTTCATTGCCTCTGAAGGCAAACAATCCAACCCACTCGTGATGGTGGATTGGATTGGAGTGGAATCAAAAGGAAATGGTTTATTGGAATATTTGATTGCACTGTGTATCCTGCACCAGGCTGTGGTTTTGCGACTATTAATCAATGTACCTTCAAGGGTCAGATGCTTTACCTTGCAGCAAAAAAACACGAAAGGCTTTGATATGCATGAAATAGAGTGATTTATCAGAAAACAGACCAAAAAATTAGTATCTTCCTTGTCTTACTATTGAGATTATTTTAGGTCTGGCTCTTTAAAAAAATTGGAAATTATTTTTAGGGATTAATGAGCTTTGTTGCAGTTTTCAAGCTGTCCTAGAGACATGATTTTTATTTTCTTTACAAGCTCTGAAGGTGACCATGTCTAAGTTGTCCATTAGTTCAGAATTTTAAAAAGCATTTTGACTTAATTTTCAAAATGATAAGATTAATTCATTAAAACAAGCCCTTTCAGATCATTTTAACATCTGCAAAATAGTTGACCATATGAGTATCCCTGTTGTGAGGGACTCAGAATGTCAAAATGGAAAACTCAGCCCTTGTCTTGAGATAGGCAAAATTCTCTGTTCCAGGGGGCCACTGCGGCTGGAACCTTCTCCATTCCCACTCTGGGGTTTGTCTATGAAGGCTGTTCCTTCCCACTTTAAGCTGTGTTTTCCTCCCTTGCTTTAATCGGGAATACCTTCTGTCCTTACACGCCCTTCAGATCTTGGTCCACACATCATTTTTCTCAGAGATGCCTTCCATACCCTCTCTTGTTATTAGATAGCATCCAATCATTTTTCATATTACCTCTCACTGCACTTTGTAATTATGTGCTTGTGTTATCAGCTTAGTGGCAGCTGCTTCCACTGGATTTCAACTTATGAGCAAGCTAGAATACTGTCTTTTTTCACCCCCTGGGGTCTTAGCCACTGTGTTTTCTATATTACTGAAAACAGAGTAAATGTGCGATACAAGGAAGGATCAGAAAAAAACAGAATTATTTTGTATTCTTACATGTTTAAACTTCAGTCGTCTTCAAAGTACTCTTCATTTGATGCGATACACCTATCGAGACGCTTTTTCACTGCTCAAAACAGTTTGTGAACTCATCCATTTGGATGCCTTTTAGTGCTTCTGCCATTTTTTGTTTCATCTCTTCCACACTGGCAACACTTTTCCCTTTGAGACTTTTTATCTGGGGAAACAAACAAACAAAAAAAACTCACTTTGGGTGAGATTGGGAAATAGGGATGGTGGAACATGGGAGTCATGCCATGTTTGGTCAAAAACTGCTGAACACTCAGTGAAGTGCGGGCAGGTGAGCTTATAAATCACCCATCATGAAATGGGTAGACACACTGAAAGAACTTCCAAAAAAAAATCACTGAAGTCAAATGCAGCGTCTCACGAGAATGCTAGCTGGTACACTGATGCCCATGGACACTTACCCAGCAGGGGAAGCCTTTACTACAAGAGGCCTGCTCTCCAAAAGATAACTGTGGATTTGGGGGGGGGTCTCCCTTATAAATACCTGAAATCAATCTATAAGCCCAAATTAAGAATTAAGACGCCCACTGGCAAGTTTATATAATTTTGTAAAGTCGACTCTGCTTCCATGCCACTGTTGGGATCAGATTATTCACTGAAGCAGGAAATTTCAGTGCTTGCATTCCAACTTCTCCAACATATCTGTCTCGGGACTTGTCACTTTCAGCACAGTTAGTTTGGGCGTGAGGTGTATGATCTCACCACTTAAAGAATTCCCTGACTGGTTCACTACCACTCTTCCTGGTTCATAGGAATTAATTGGCTTTTCCTTTTTCTGTTTCTTCTCCCCCGAAATGCAAAAACCAAAACAGGCTTCGTTCCCAGAAAAGAACACTTTTTCTGTGTTTACTGCTATCCATCCTCATTTATTAACAGGGAATAGGGGCATATGGAGAACAAAATACAGATTAATATTTCAGTAAATTATCCTGTCACTCTGGCATTCAGCAGAGGATAAAAATAAATTATGCAAGCTCTGTAAAGGACATGTTAAGTTTTCATTGTTTATTTTCATAGTGTTGCCCTTCTCTTTCTAGAAGACTAAGGATATCCAACTATTTGAGAATATTAGATAAACAATTATGCTGAGAATCAATCACCTTCAAAACGAGCTCTCTTTAGAAAGCTATAGCAAGACATACAAAGCTTTAAGTATCTAGAACCAATCACCATGTCTTCTCAAAATCTCATCCAATATTTTGAGAGATGAAGTATGGATTCTGAAGTAATTTTCATTTTGACACTAAATGCACGCATACATATATAGATTTGTATCTTTTAATAAATTACATTAAAGTATATTTTATTTACGTTCCAATATATTTTCATTTTACAAAGTTAACACGTTTGCTTACCATCAAATACACACAAAAGGCAACTGCTTGAATTTTTCAAACCACACTGAGGATTCTAGTATCTTCACTGTCTTCTGTCCCCCCGGGGTGGCATCTAATAGGTATTACATAAGTCAGTGCTCCCTGAAAACTAGATTGACTAGTTCAATTGCTATCTTGGATAGAATTCTGACTCTTAGACATAAATATAATGACTAAATAAATAAAATGATATAAAGTTTACTCCAGAGAATATCTTCACATTTCTGTCTCCACAGCAACACAGACGTACACACAGTGGCATCACTTCTGAAACTGTATCTCCGAGAACTTCCAGAGCCAGTTATTCCATACGCAAAGTATGAGGATTTTCTGTCCTGTGCCAAACTGCTCAGCAAGGACGAGGAAGCAGTAAGTCAAGGCATTTATTTCCAAATAAGCCTTCATATGGAGTTTTTGGTCAGTGTTCTTAATCTCTAATTTGTAAGTTTCCCTTTGCTTTATCCTTGGATTGTTCTCCACTATTCCGTGTATTGACATCACATACATATAGACTTTGCATATACACCTCAAGTAATTTTTTACTCCCTTTCTGATCAATGACAATAAAATAAAATTAACACTCCTTGCCACCTTGCTTCCCTGAATGGTTAAATGTGATGCTAATATCAGGCCACACACTATGTGAAAAAATTGGGTGCCTTGTTTCATAACCGCCTTTTGATTGTGATTGTGTGCCCCCCAAATCACCTCAAGCAATCGCCTGTGTACTAAAACCTACTACTGCTTGATTTGATAACAGCTTTATTGAGATATAATTTAAATACTTTACAATCACCTACTTAAAGTGTACAGTTCAGTGCATTTTTAACATATTCTCAGAGTTGTACAAACATCACCAAATGTAATTTTAGAATATTTACATTTTTATTATCTCAAAGCAAACCCATATCCTCTCCCCATTTGCCTCTTTCCCAAGCTCTTGTCAATTACTATTTATTATTTATTTATTTATTTATTTAATCATCTCACTCTTGTCCCCCAGGCTGGAGTGCAGTGGCATGCTCATGGCCACTGCAGCCTCAACCTGCTGGGCTCAGGTGATCCTTCTGCCTCAGCCTTCCAAGTAGCTGAAACTACAGATGCACCCCACCACACCTGGCTAGTTTTTGTGATTGATTGTAGAGATGAAGTCTCACCAAGTTGTCCAGGCTGGTCTTGAATCCCAGGCTCAGGCAATCCTCTCGCCTCGGCCTCCCAAAGTGCTGGAATTGCAGGCTGAGCCACTGTGCCCGGCCCTAATTTATTTGTTGTCTGTATTGATTTGCCCAGTTTGGACATTTCACATAAATGGAATCATTCAATATGTTGTTTTTTGTGACTGGTTTTTATCACTGTTTTCAATGTTTATCCAAGTTGTACCATTTGTCAGTATTTTATTCCTTTTATTTCTAAATAATATCCTCCCATTATTCATTCATTTATCAAACAAAACATTTGTTTCCATTATTTGGCTATTATGTATAATGCTGCTGTGAACATCCATGTACAACACTCTGCATGGATGTAATGTTTTTATTTCAGTTAGGTATATACCCAGAAGGTAGAATTGCTGGGCCATATGTAACTCAATGTTTTCCAAAAACGCTCTACCATTTTAAATTCCTACAAGCAATGTGAGCAGGTTTCACCTTCTCCACATCTTTGCCATAATTTGTTACTATCTGTTTTTTTCTTATTTTAGCCATCCTAATGTGTTGAAATGGTGTCTCAATGAAGGTCGAATGGCATATCCCCAATGACTAATGATGTTGGACATTTTTCAAGTACTTATTGGCTATCAGTGTATTTTTTTAATTAATTTTTTTTATTATTGAGATGTGCGATACAAGTAAGGATTAACTACACAAGTAGGCTGCATATAGGTGAAATTTGGGCCTCCAACTGGCCCTCACTCCTCCCGGTATAGAACCAAATACCCTTTGTGTTGTTATGTGTCCTCCCCTTCCCTCCCCCAGCAATGTCCAGTTACTGCCGATCCCTCCCTCATTCTAATGTGATTAATGTTCAGGTCCCACTTGTGAATGAGAACATGAGGTATTCAGTTCTTTGTTTCTGTGGTAGGTCATTAAGTATGATGGTCTCCATCTCTATCCAATTTGCTGCAAAGTCCTTGATTTTGTTCTTCTTGGTGACTGCATTCTGTGTATTTTCTTAGAATAAATATCTGTTCTGATCTCTTCCCCATTTTAATTGGGTTATTTGCCTTATCATTGAGTTGTAAGAGTTTACATAGTTTAGATACAAGTCTCTTATCACAGCAGTCTCCAACCTTTTTGGCAACAGGGACTGGTTTCATGGAAGACAGTTTTTCAACAGATGGTGGGAGTGAGGGGATGGATCATCAGGCATTAGATTCTCATAAGGATCACACAATCTAGATCCCTCACATGCACAGCTCACAAAAATAGGGTTCCCGCTCCTATGAGAATCTAATGCTGCAGCTGATATGACAGGAGGCAGAACTGTGCTCACTGTCTGCTCACTTCCTGTGCAGCCAATTCCTAACAGGCCACCAACCAGTACCAATCCAGGACCCAAGGTTTGAGAACCCTTGGCTTATCAGATATATAATTTTCAAGTATTTTCTCTCATTTTGTGTGTTGTCTCTTCATTTTCTTTGTGGTGTTATTTGAAATACAAACGGTTTTAATTTTGATGAAGTCCAATTTATCTATTTTTGCCCTTGTCACTTGTGTTTTTATGTGTGTCATAGTAAGAAGCCTTCACTTAAAACAAGATTACAGAGATTTACTCCTGTATTTTCTTCTAAGATGTTTATAGCTTCAGCTCTTACACATAGGTCTATGATACATTTTGACGAGATCTGGCATGTTCAGGGTGGTATGGCTATAGATCTATGATCCATTTCCAGTTCATTTTTGTTTATGGGGTGAGGAAAGGGAGAGACTTCATTCTTTTGCATGTGGGCACACAGGTATCCTAGCACCATTTGTTAAAAGATGAGTTTTCCCGCATTTGATTTTGTTGGCACGCATGTCAAAAACTGCTGCCTGCTTTTATAAATACTGTTTTATTCCATTTGTTGCATAATATTGTCTGGGGCTGCTTTTGCAAAGTTGACTAGTTGTGACAAAGTTGACTAGTTGTGCTTTTGCAAAGTTGACTAATGTCCCATAAAGCCTAAAATATTTGCTATCTGGACCTTTACATGAAGAACAAGAAATCAGATTACATTATCATTAACTTTTCTGGGACTGTTTACATTTTAGAAGAAGTTCCACACTGAAAAGAGCGAAAGAAATGAGTCCCTTTTGAAATTCCCAGAAGGACCAGGCTCTTTAACCATCCTGCCTCCCCAAATGATGTAACCTAGATATGGCTAGTCCTGAGACACTTATTTGTCAGTAGACATGTGTTTGTCTATATTCTATGCATGCTAAAAATTGGAAGTATGCTCACTATATCAATGCTATTTTTCCTCAGATAATCTTATTATACACAAGTTTGTCTTCCCTTTTCAGTCAATTTTGAATAAATGTTTAAAAATAATAAACAGGTTCACTTAAATCCATTTCTCCACAAACAGAACTTACATAGAAATTTAAAATGCTTGTGCATCTTTGGAACTATTTCTAAAATGCTACGATGGTGATAAATTTTCATGACAGTATCCTTTACTAATTATATGTGAAGCTAATTTTTAAAAAGAAAACAGTATGGCCGGGCATGGTGGTTCATGCCTGGAATCCCATCACTTTGGGAGTCTGGGGCAGGCAGATTGCTTGAGTCCAAGAATTCGAGGCTGGCCTGGACAGCATAGTGAGACCTCATCTCTAGCAAAAATAATAATAATAATAAAACACTGTATGACCATTTTCCACTTACTTTAATTCCAAGACCAACACATAGAAAGATAACACTTATTTTCTTCTTTGTACTCAGGGTGTTAAGGAATTAGCAAAGCAGGTGAAGAGTTTGCCAGTTGTCAATTACAACCTCCTCAAGTATATTTGCAGGTAAGAACTGTCCTACAAACAAATCTAACAAAACAAGGCATATTTATCTGGACACGAATTTATGTTTAACAATAAATAAAATCACATAGCTGCTCTGAGCTCCACTGTTGGCAAAATTAAGTTTGAGCAAGGTGATCTCAAAGATTTCTTAGAGCACTAAAATTACTTGATTTTGTAATTTGATCTTTCTGAAGTCTCTCTTGCCTCTACACATTAAGAATATATTACTCTGAATGTCCATCAGAGTTGTTTGTACCATTTAGGGAGTGGCATTGCTGAGGAAAAGGAGCATGTACTTCGACATGAACAAGGTCAGCATAGGAGGCCAGATTCTACCATTGACCACTTAGGTGTCTTTACGCAATTCTCTTACCCTTTCTGAGTTTCGGGGTCTTAACAGGTAAGGTGGTAGTGAAAACACATATTTCACACAGTTGTTTTAAAAATTGAATCATATTTTTAAATGATGGATATATAGTAGGTATGCAATAAATATTATTATTTTTTCCATTTCTCTCCTACCTCAAAACTCATCAAAAAGACATGTGTGATGGAATTCTGTTAGAACAGTGATTGTGCCTGGTAAATATCTCTCTCAGTTACCCTGCTTAACCTAAGGCCTGGGAGGGCATATGCCATGGCTGTGCCCCTCTTTATGAAACCCAATATGTAACTAGAAATTGATGGTTGGCATACAAGTCAATGCCGTGTGTCTTAAATAATAGTTTCCCAGTCCATTTAAAATAAAGTTTAAATCCAATACAGTGCATTGTTTATGTATGCTTTTGACATCAGGATTAGATAAGTTTTCAGCAGATCAGGAACTATGAAGTTTAACACGAATGCCAAACACTGTGGTGTTCGTCGTCAATGGAACTGAGTAGAAATTCCAAAACCTCCCACTATAAGTTTTTCTGGAGATGGTTATGCTTAGAAGCAAACAGAAGCTTGGGTTTCAGAATTTGAAAAAGCAAGAAACTGAGTCACAAAGAGCATAGACTTATTAACATGTAAGTCTTTAATCTCAAGATTTTGAACTAATTCAAGTTATTGTAACAGATGAGAAAAGGTTACCCTCTTCTTAAGTAGAAGAGATAAAAGATTTGTTTGAGAACCATATTGCTAGTCTTTCCACAGTAGAAATACTGTACTTTTCTTGCAACATTTAAGCAGACTTTTAATTTCAAGTCTTTCAAATAAGAAATGATAGTTTGACTTTTTGCCTTCAGTGTGACTACAGTTCAGCCTGCACTACAATAGTTAGCATATGGAAATAGGTACTTTTTAAAAAAATGTCATGGTATAGTAGTTAAGTAGTCATGGAGTCAACTAACTGGGTTCAAATCGCCTCTCTACCAATTATTACCTCTGTGTCCATGGAGACGATTCTTAATCTCTTCTGGTACCTCATGTCTCTCATCTGTAAAATGGAGATGATGATAGTATCGACTTCATAGAGATGCTCTGAGACTTTAAAAAGTTAGCACTATGACCAACACATAATAGTGCTTTATAAATGTTATTTCTATTTTTCATTGTTTCCTCTTTATCAGTACAGCTAGCAAGCCATGAAACAATAGAAGCTCTTGTAGAAATGAAGAGAATATAAGGAATGAAAAAAGGCCTTAATCACAAAAACAATTTCTTCTACTAAAATCATCTGGGGAATGGGCTATTCATGCCTCTTATCATTTAGCATCTAATAAATCTACAAATTTAAAAACCAATGTGTGCTTGCAGTCTTATATCAGTAGAACTGATGTTTTAATTTTCACTGTTAGATTTTTTTTAGTAGATTATAAATATGAAGCTCACAAATTACTCCACAAAGATGGTTGATTCCTCCTCTCTAAAATAAGGAATTGTGCCAGGTTATCATATATATATGTGTGTGTGCCAGCTTAAAGATACTTGTCTGTAGCTTTATCAGTCCTTTATTATAAATTAAAATAAATATGATGCAGAAAGCCACCACATACACACCACACGTCTTAATGAACTTTATATAAGATAGACACTCTAGAAATCATCATCTAGATCAAGAAATAGAACTTTTTCATTGTGCAGTTTTCCAATTGAATATGTATAGATGTAATACTTTATTGAAGGGTTGGAAGGGAATCCAAATTCTTCTCTTTTGAGTCCACATTAGTTTTGTCAGAACATACTTGGTCCTTTGACTGACAGAGGAAACTTAACCGGGCCAGACCAGAACAGACAGTTGAAATGATCCTTAAAGTTTGATCCTTCATAATTTGCAATGTATTTTCTCTACATTTGAGTGAGAGATATGTGGTTATCCAAATAATTCTGTCTCCATAATCATTTTTGAACATACTCCAGATCCATAAATTCCCAATGATCTATTTTTCCCCCATAAACAAATTTGATCCCATTGTGTTTTGAACATATGCTTACACCCAACAGATTCTTGGATGAAGTACAGTCCTATTCAGGAGTTAACAAAATGAGTGTGCAGAACCTGGCAACTGTCTTTGGTCCTAATATCCTACGCCCCAAAGTGGAAGATCCCTTGACTATCATGGAGGGTAAGTAAATGGTTATCTTACACCGTCATCTAAAGAAGGATCAACTATCTCTAGGTTGGCTAGAATAGATTCCCCTCTGAGCAAACTAAAGAAATATGTGAATCCATGGCAACTTCACTTATTAACTCAAGTTTTTTAAATGTAAAATCTTGTCTTTGAGAGTCAGGCTTTTTTAAAATTTTACATATCATAAAATTTACTAAATGATTTCTCAATAGCCTTACAAGAACAAATGGAACTTTCATAAATCATTTGTAAGGTATTATGTAAGAATTGAAAAAGATCTGGTTCACTCTGAGTCCAATGTAGTTTTCAGAAAATTCAAAGATATTATTTTAAGTTAATATGTATTTATTAATTTTTATATCAATTATTTCAAGATGTTAAAAAATCCTTTATAAGACAATGCTGCTTATTTACTTCTGAATTGAAACCTGAAAGAATTCTTGTTTTCTAAATTACAATATGTCTCAAATTATTTTTCACAATGAACTGCTACTTCTGTTTATTTCCAGAAAGTCTCAATGCTTGGATACCTTTTATACTTCTGGTCATTAGTGACACTATTGTTTTCTGCAAACTGGCCTAATTGATCATTTAAGAATTTAATAGGGAACAGGGAAGGGGAAAGACAAGTTATTTTTAGTTTGACCTTGAGTTTATTTAGTCTAAAAGAAAATATCTTTCTCACTTGCATGAATTTTATCTCCTGACACTGTTCCTTTTCTGAAAATTATAAGATTTTCATTTCTCTGTATCTTGTATGTGAGAGAGAGAAGGTTCTTGAGTGTCCGCCTGCATCACTCTGGCTTAATTTCCGTTGTCAAATACCGAGAGCAATATGAGCTTAACATCAGTAAGATGTTAAATTTTATATTTAACAAACTAGATTTCCATCTGAGGAGTTCAGCAGACACTGGAAAATATAAAATTTGAAGCTACAAGAAGCTTAAAGATACTTGTCTATAGCTTTATCAATCCTTTATTATAAATTAAAATAAATATGATGCAGAAAGCCACCATATATACACCACACGTCTTAATGAACTTTATATAAGATAGACACTAGAAATCACTGTCTAGAATAAGAAACAGAACTTTTTCAGGTGTTCTCAAATCCCTGACCCAATCATACCTTGTGGGTTTTTTTGTAGTTTTTTTTTTTTCCACTCAAATAGACTTCCCCAGACATTTTATTTAATGTTTCTATTCCTTTACTTGATGTCTTTTAAGACTCTTAATATACAGGATCCCCTATAATTTATTAGTTGAAAAAATAGATTATTTGAACTGTAGAGCTTTCCATAGTCTGGATTTGTTGATTGCATATTCATGGCGCAATTTGACATATTCCTCTGCCCCTGTATTTGTTACAGTTTAGAATCTGGGTCAAATTTATGTTTTATATCCTTGACATGACTTTAAATTGTGTTGTGTTCTTAAATCAGGAGATATAACATCTACTTATCTCTCTTTTTGGGAACTTAACATAATTTCTAAAACTGTTAATTCACTGAAAGTTGAAATGACAATATTATAAATCTATTTTTTTTCAATTTTTTTATTGTGGTAAAACATATATAACATAAGATGTACTGTCTTCAATATTTTGAAGTACACAGTTCAGTGGTATGAAGTACATTCATATTGTTGTGCATTCATCACCTCCATTCATCTCTAGAACACTTTCCATTTTGCAAAACTGAAACTGTACCCATTAAACACTAACTCCCTCCCCCTCTCCCCCATTCCTTGGAAGCCACTATTCTACTTTCTGTTTCTATGAATTTCACTACTCCAGGTACCTCACGTAAGTGGATTTATTACTGTGTTTTTCTTTTTGTGCCCATCTTATTTCACTTAGCATGATGTCTCAAGTTTTCTTCCATGTGGTAGCACTTTACTTTTTTAACTTAATAGTTGGAACAATTTTATTATAAAAAATCTTCCCCTTATCTACTTCTTAGTAACCCAGTGGTAATTTATATACATAAAAGACAAGATAAATGTTGCTTGAGTACTTTCTTTTATTTACCAGTTGTTAAAATAACTATACAGATGTTTAACATCATTTGAAAGTGAATACTTTCTCCTTTCCTTCCTATTAATATAATTCTAAATACATTATAAACTTATATATTAAAATCTATTAGATGTCGTTGCATTGTAATTATTATCCTTTATTGAAGCTCAAAATTTCCCATCATTGGTCAGTGAAAGCTCCTTCAAGTTGCCTTCTTAATCCTTTTGACATGACCTTATTAGTTAGGAGTAGCTACCTTTCTTTTCAGTATGACAAGATTTGTATTATGTATTTCCTGCCCCAAATCTAGAATAAGCCAACTTCAAAAAATGATTTATTTCTTTTAGCAGGGAAATGATATTTCAATGTCAAAATCTAAGTAACAGTGATACTCATTGCTTCTAGCTTGATCATTATTCCTAGGTCTTTCTGTGGACAGAGCTAATAGACACGAATGCATCATCCATTTGTGGTACAATTTTATTATTAAAAATCTTCCCCTCATCATCTACTTCTTAGTAACCCAGTGGTAACTTATATACATAAAAGGCAAGATAAATGTTGCTTGAGTACTTTCTTTTATTTACCATAATAAAATAAAATAAAAATTTTATTTACCACGTATAATACACACACATATGTGTATATTAAAGAAAAAGTACCTCACAAGTTCACACCATATGCTATACTTTCAAGTCAAAATCATAACTTCAGGGTTTTTATTGATTACTTTGTTTGAGACAGGGTCTTGCTCTGTTGCATTTGCTGGAGCGTAATGGTGCATTCATGACTCACTGCAGTTTGTAACTCCTGGGCTTAAGTGATCCTCCTGCCTCCCCCGCCCGCCACGCCCCCCCCAACACAAGTAGGTGGGACTACAGGTGTGTGCCACCATGCCTGACAATTTTTTTTTCATAGAGACAGGGTCGCACTTTGCTCCTCAGGCTGGTCTTGGACTCCTGGCTTCAAGTAATCCTTCTACCTTGACCTCCCAAAGAACTGGGATTACAGGCATGAGCCACCCCTAGTCTTATCCCTTTCTCCACTACAGTTTTATTTCCTTTCATCCAAGGAATCCTGGTTCACAAGGACACTGACAATGACAGAGTTAGAACATCTCATAATTAATCATTTGCTCTATATCTCACCACACACAGAGTAGACTCAGAATAACAACACTAGTACTACCGATGCTGGTATGCTTACTGCAAACTTTTTTTTTTTTTTGAGTTGGAGTCTCACTCTGTCACCCACGTTGGAGTGCAGTGGCACATTCACAGCCACCCCAGCATCAACCTGCTGGGTCCAGGTGATCCTTCTGCCTCAACCTTCCAAGTAGCCAGAACTACAGGTGTGTGCTACCATGCCTGGCTAATTTTTTATTTATTGTAGAGACGAGGTCTCGCCAAGTTGCCTGGTCCGGTCTCAAACCTACGGGCTAAGGCAATTCACTCACCCCAGACTCCCAAAGTGCCGGGATTACAGACTGAGCCACCGAGTCCAGTCACAAACATTTGTTTAAAAATAAACCTTTTGTATATGCTCTTCTAATTCTCCTTTCATTCTTTTACTATTTAATTATGTTTAATATTTGTATTATATCTATGATGTCAGAGTGTATACCTTTTATATGTGTGTGTGTGTATGTGTGTGTGTGTGTGTGTGTGTTATGATTCAATGAATGTTCACTACTGGTCCTTCTATTGATGACTCTCTAGCCTAGTGGTTCTCAAAATGTGGTTTAGGGATAACTTGGGGTCCCTGAGATGCATTAAGAAGGTCCGTGAGCTTAAGTATATTTTCATAATAACAGTGAGATGTTTTTGTTATTTCTTTATTTTTATTAATCAATATTTTTTATTATGGTTTTGTGGGGTACAGTTAAGGGTTAGGTGTACAATTACATTTCATTCAGGCTGTTGATAAGAGGTGTTTTCCCATCCCCAGACAGATATTTGCTACTGTTAATCCCATC